ACAATCATACACGACCAAAGAACATGCAGGTCGTATCACTAAAGTAAGTAGCAGTAAACTTCGGAAAGCTAAAGATAATTTTAAAAAAATTTACACTCCTATGATTCAACAGTTGAGCGGATAGGTTTCAGATGTTTGAAATGACTGATGCTCTATCCGACTTACTCACGAAAGTAACAAAAGGCGTGTCAGAAGATTTGCTTCTGACCACAAAGAATTGAATTTATAATTATTATCTTCAAGTGTTTGGTTTTTGGTCACTCTATGGAATTTAAAGTACATTTTGTCACAAATCTATCTCAGTGAAAACCAGAGAACACTGAATAGCTGTTTTTTCCCAGTTCAGGAACTTCTAGCCGTGGAAAACCATGGCTTCATCAAGATTCGAACTCAGTACCATGCCATGAGTTTCGGACCCTAAACTCGTCTCAATTCTCAGGCATAACGCCAACTGAAGCCCCGATTTCCGATCCTTGGTGTAGTTAGAGGTGTGTACCGTGGAAAGGGTCCAAACTAGGAAGAAATTGCTGAACAGCGCACCTTAGTTACAAGAACTTGTCTAACTGCTAACGGTTAGTAAAGAAATCTACCCTGGAATAATCCACTTATCTATTTATTTTGACGTAGGACACGTAGGGCAATAGAGGTGCTCAGCTGAAGCCCTATGTTCCTCTAGGAACTAAAGGATACAATAATAATAATAATAATATAATCATAATGGTCGTTAAGTTGTACTCAAAAATTATCAACCGGGCATATTCGCGTCAAAAAGACAATCATACACGACCAAAGAACATGCAGGTCGTATCACTAAAGTAAGTAGCAGTAAACTTCGGAAAGCTAAAGATAATTTTAAAAAAATTTACACTCCTATGATTCAACAGTTGAGCGGATAGGTTTCAGATGTTTGAAATGACTGATGCTCTATCCGACTTACTCACGAAAGTAACAAAAGGCGTGTCAGAAGATTTGCTTCTGACCACAAAGAATTGAATTTTATTTATTATCTTCAAGTGTTTGGTTTTTGGTCACTCTATGGAATTTAAAGTACATTTTGTCACAAATCTATCTCAGTGAAAACCAGAGAACACTGAATAGCTGTTTTTTCCCAGTTCAGGAACTTCTAGCCGTGGAAAACCATGGCTTCATCAAGATTCGAACTCAGTACCATGCCATGAGTTTCGGACCCTAAACTCGTCTCAATTCTCAGGCATAACGCCAACTGAAGCCCCGATTTCCGATCCTTGGTGTAGTTAGAGGTGTGTACCGTGGAAAGGGTCCAAACTAGGAAGAAATTGCTGAACAGCGCACCTTAGTTACAAGAACTTGTCTAACTGCTAACGGTTAGTAAAGAAATCTACCCTGGAATAATCCACTTATCTATTTATTTTGACGTAGGACACGTAGGGCAATGGAGGTGCTCAGCTGAAGCCCTATGTTCCTCTAGGAACTAAAGGATACAATAATAATAATAATAATATAATCATAATGGTCGTTAAGTTGTACTCAAAAATTATCAACCGGGCATATTCGCGTCAAAAAGACAATCATACACGACCAAAGAACATGCAGGTCGTATCACTAAAGTAAGTAGCAGTAAACTTCGGAAAGCTAAAGATAATTTTAAAAAAATTTACACTCCTATGATTCAACAGTTGAGCGGATAGGTTTCAGATGTTTGAAATGACTGATGCTCTATCCGACTTACTCACGAAAGTAACAAAAGGCGTGTCAGAAGATTTGCTTCTGACCACAAAGAATTGAATTTTATTTATTATCTTCAAGTGTTTGGTTTTTGGTCACTCTATGGAATTTAAAGTACATTTTGTCACAAATCTATCTCAGTGAAAACCAGAGAACACTGAATAGCTGTTTTTTCCCAGTTCAGGAACTTCTAGCCGTGGAAAACCATGGCTTCATCAAGATTCGAACTCAGTACCATGCCATGAGTTTCGGACCCTAAACTCGTCTCAATTCTCAGGCATAACGCCAACTGAAGCCCCGATTTCCGATCCTTGGTGTAGTTAGAGGTGTGTACCGTGGAAAGGGTCCAAACTAGGAAGAAATTGCTGAACAGCGCACCTTAGTTACAAGAACTTGTCTAACTGCTAACGGTTAGTAAAGAAATCTACCCTGGAATAATCCACTTATCTATTTATTTTGACGTAGGACACGTAGGGCAATAGAGGTGCTCAGCTGAAGCCCTATGTTCCTCTAGGAACTAAAGGATACAATAATAATAATAATAATAATATAATCATAATGGTCGTTAAGTTGTACTCAAAAATTATCAACCGGGCATATTCGCGTCAAAAAGACAATCATACACGACCAAAGAACATGCAGGTCGTATCACTAAAGTAAGTAGCAGTAAACTTCGGAAAGCTAAAGATAATTTTAAAAAAATTTACACTCCTATGATTCAACAGTTGAGCGGATAGGTTTCAGATGTTTGAAATGACTGATGCTCTATCCGACTTACTCACGAAAGTAACAAAAGGCGTGTCAGAAGATTTGCTTCTGACCACAAAGAATTGAATTTTATTTATTATCTTCAAGTGTTTGGTTTTTGGTCACTCTATGGAATTTAAAGTACATTTTGTCACAAATCTATCTCAGTGAAAACCAGAGAACACTGAATAGCTGTTTTTTCCCAGTTCAGGAACTTCTAGCCGTGGAAAACCATGGCTTCATCAAGATTCGAACTCAGTACCATGCCATGAGTTTCGGACCCTAAACTCGTCTCAATTCTCAGGCATAACGCCAACTGAAGCCCTGATTTCCGATCCTTGGTGTAGTTAGAGGTGTGTACCGTGGAAAGGGTCCAAACTAGGAAGAAATTGCTGAACAGCGCACCTTAGTTACAAGAACTTGTCTAACTGCTAACGGTTAGTAAAGAAATCTACCCTGGAATAATCCACTTATCTATTTATTTTGACGTAGGACACCGTTGATGAGCTTAATAGTAAACCAGCGGAATGATTATGTAGCGTTTGTATTATTTCGTTTTTGCCCAAGTTGTCAGGCGTCAATAATAGGAGGCTATTAATGATGTCCCTTATGATCCAATATTATGTCCAGTTTAGTACAACCAATAGTCAATTTTTGTTGAACTTGTTTCCAAAGCTTTGGGTAAACGTAATAAATCAGGAAATTGTTTGCAACTATTCATGTCAACAGATTGTATGTAAACAACTGCTGGATGGTGGCTAGCAGTGGAATCCAGGATCCGCATTTCGTCCTATTTGGGACTCGTCAGCTGGATTGTATGTAATTTTGCTAACATTTTTATCGGGACTGTACTACAAGTTATCACCTTTAAAATAACGTTTCACCACCATGAATTAGTGAAGGCCTGATCAGTTTACGCTTACTGGCTTAATAATATAGTTAGCCAGTCTTTAGATTATTCCGAATAACAATCCATTCAGAGTACACAAGAACAGCAATTATCATTAGTTCTTTGCTTTCGAAGTGAAATGTAGCACTTTGGGAGTATATCTAAGTTAAACTATGTTCTCTGTTATTATTCTCAACAGGCTCCAGAAGCTTACATTTCCTCCTAACATGATCTTCTACCTCTCACCCTGGAGCCTACACCCTATCCATCGCTACGCATCCGAGTTTCACAGGACAAACAGGAGTGTGATATTACTTGAATATGTCCTCAGACTATATTCAATGCATCTGCATTCTCCTCTTCATATTTGGTGACCAATTGCTTCTTTGATGGTTTGCTACCAGAGTTCTCTATTGCTTATTCTCTCTAGCCATCTGATCTTCAGCATCGAGAGAGTGAATACTGGTGTTAATGAAAGTCCTCAATCATCTGTTAGAAATACTTGTGGTGATGCGTTTCCGAGTCTCTGATTCATATAGAAGCGCTGACTTATCACTGGCATAGATAAAGCTCGAAATTTTCTCCTTGTACTGACAGGTGTGTATAGATCTCCACACTGATTTTAGAGTAATGAACACCTGTCTTGTCTTCCAAACCTTAACTTTGACATTCTTCATCGAGCAGATGTGGGAATGGCAGTCACATCGCCACCTTAACTTCAATGACTTTGGAAAGTTCTCCGACAGAGTTGACCATGAAGGAATTCGAAAACTACTTCAACACTACAGAGCACACCGCCGAAAACCTTTATCAACCTGATTCAACATCTATATCCCAGTGACACATGAAAAGGGGTCCCCGACGGAAAACTCAATGAAGCATCCCAAGAGAATACAGGAGTTAGACAAGGGTGAATATCGTCAACTGCTTAGTTTGACAGCAGAGGATGCAAGCAAAGACAGACCTTCAAATGAGTACAGAGAAGACAGAATTGGTGAAAATAACCAACCACAACAACGACAACAAGCACCAATCGCCATCAACGGAATAAGTTCGAAAGAGGTCACTTCCTTCACTTATCTAGGAAGCGTGGTTTCAACCACAGCCAGTGGAACCCATGAAGATGTCAAAGCCAGGCAGACAGCCAACCGGCCAGCAAGAATCAGAAAGGCAAGATACACCTTCATCAATCTGAAATCGGTTTGGTGATCTGCCACCCTTTAAAGCATGAACAACGTGATTCGGGTTTCCAACACCGATGTCAAATGGGTTCTTCTATGTTGGTCAGAAACTTGAGTTGTCACAGAGGCATTTCGAGCAGGCTGATGTTTTTTATCAACCTTGGAGAACGGGGTGAAATGGGGGTGAGGTGTTCGAGCCCTGTTCCACTCGGAAGCCAGGTGAATAATAACAGTATGATAGCATAATGTATATAATTTTAAGACATCCTCAGTTTACAGTCGTTGGTTAATCAATTAATTAACTAATTATATAAGCTTATCAGTTAAATGTTCTCTATTAAACACGTAAATAAATTTATTTGCTTATCGAAATCTTAACAGATTACCATGACAACGATTGTTTTCAGGAAAGGAAGTTCATTCTACAAAGTTGTATTAAGTATAAACATTCATAAAATGTGTTAAGATAAAATAATTACCATGACCATCCTTGATTTAAAATTTGATCCATGCAACCAGATTCTTTGATTCTGTCACGTTGCCAATTTGCATAGGCTTCACTCGATGGGAGAGAACGTATTGGATTGTGTGGTTCATCGACAGATGTTTGGTCTCCTTCTGGATTGAACAGAATACTAACACCAACACCTTTTCTGCCTTTTTGTAAAATATCCAATGCCTATAAAATGGTAGTTTTAGATTGAATGCTCTTCAAAAAAGGAAAGAACCTAGTTAACCGAACTTTCTACCTCCTTATTTTCCTGTCACTTCAATTCATACTGACATAGAAGAAAGAAAGCAGTTACAACTACCTGAGATTGCTTTGAACTGATAGGGCTGATGTTAGCGTATTGAATGTTGACTAGGATGCAAACCGGTGATCTCCAGATTAATGCCTTAGAACTTCACCACTTTAGCTGATTGCTGATTATGTCATCAATCTATGTCAGTTATCACGTGTTTCCTCAGTCGCCATTTGAATAAGTGATACATAAATGTCAGTGTACCATCATGTTCAACTGGGTCTTTACCTATCAATTCTAACCAAACTGAATTAGACGGAATGGAGTGTACGCATAATTCTAGTTATTTATAGGTTATTTTACTTTTATTCCTTACTAAATATTGTTTATTATTGTTATTGTTCTTTTGGGTGCCGAGTAACACATGGGGTTTAAACAAAATATCTCGAGTTTGTTCTAGTTTCTGCTGTCCTATTTACCTTGCCTCACGATTGCCCATAAATCTCTCATCTCCTCTGCATACGACCTCCTCCATGTCATCCTCGCATTGATGACACACTTGTTCTTTCCCATTTGAGTTACACCCGAGCTATGAATTGGTGTACAATGCCATTCGACAGTCTCCTCAAAGTATGCTCCATCCAACCATCACCAATTTTCCTACATATTTGTTCAACAATGGCATTTTGGTTGGTTTGTTTCCATAGTTTCTTGTTTCTAATTCTTAATGGCTATTTGTTCTTCAATATGAATCCAGTGAATGCAGTACCTTTTGATAAAAGTCTACAGCAGCCTGTTAGGAATTCTTTTCGTGATGCACCATGTTTCTGACCCAAATAGAAGGACTGACTGCATTCACATTTGTGTTGAAAATCCGAATCACGTTCTCTTTGTGCAAAAGACCCCTAAACCGAGTTCAGAGCGATGGAAGTGTACCTTGCCTTTCCGATTCTGGCTGGCTGTAGTCAAGGAGGTGACCTCTTTCCAAGTCATTCCGTTGATGGTGATTGGTGCTTTCTGTCGATGTTGCTGTTGGTTGGTTAACAAAATATCTCCTTACAATGTAAATATTGCACCGATGGTTTAGTGTAGAATACTCACCCACTAAAGACGGAATCCAGGTCAGATTTCCTGCTGCTGAAGCATTCCTTAACCTCAACCAGTTCACCAGTCATTAGTGAGCCTGGAATAGAGGGAAGATTGAACGTTAGGCGAGTGACACCACATGCTTGAAGCCCAATGTTTCGCATCGGAATGCGCAGGAATGAGAAAATGAAAACTAATTAAATATAGTACACTTTTAATATATGTAGCACAGCAGTGGTTACAGAAGCACTGGTTCAATTTTACCTAAACGGCTTAATAATGTTATATGCTATAAAACAGCTTCTTATCATTACCTTCAGAAACACTGAAAGTGTAGACAGTAAACACAGGCGTGTAACTAACTACATTTCTGACATCTCATATGCATATGATGGAGAGTTGTGAAATATTTGTAGTTTCTTATTGTGTCTTCTAAATCAAACACAACTCCTATGCTTTCATGGCTGTATATTCTCACAACGTAAAATAAATTTACAATTCATGCATATGGAGAATATGCATCAGGAGAGTTGTTCTCTTTTTTTATTTTGCTGTTTAAGATTAATATTTTTATAACTAAGGCTGTATTCACCCCATTTGCTTGTCCATATATGCATGATTTATCAAAATAGATCTGAGAGCAAGACAGAATAAATTTTCAATGGTTAACTGTCATACAGCTTATTTTCCATAGAATGTTTGTCTATCTATCACGGGTGAAACGGGTTCATCTCCTAATAACGCCAAAATGTGACTGATATGAAGAATACCAATTCATCAGAGTTAAGTGTGTAGAAGAAGACAATACATATTCGCCTATCTTACTACTCTGTGACTATTAGGCAATTCATATGTGAAAAGTTTTCAGATATAATATTTCTTTTTTCGATTTTTCATGTGTATTATTCATTTGTACTTTTTTTTTTCTATGTTTTGAATACCTTTATTTGTTATCCTAGGAGGAGTCAGTTATCAAAAAAGTCTGTATCAAAGTTTTATGACAGCCTGTACTGACAAACTGCTAGTGATGCACATTCAGATCTCCAAGTGAAGAGGCATTCTATTCATTGAAGTGATATCAAAAAGAAGAGGGGTCCACAGATATCATTTTCAAGACGTACAATTGCTTATATGCACATATATGTATATATTTTCACAGCAAAAAAAGAAATATTTCTAAAGTGTCGTGTCAATAAAATAGAAATATTGCTGACGTAGATGTTAAAGAAAAGTTAACTATTTAATTTAAGTTGGTGCATTGTAATTGACAGGATGAAATATAATCCACTTAAAATTCAAAGGAAGTCAAATTACGTCAGTGTCAAACAGTAGAAGTGCAATAGTGAAATAGGAGAATACAAAAATGTAAAGAAATTTCGCTTCAGATGCTGAGACAAATTAAGTCAGTTGTAAGTTCACTGAGTTAACGAACTCATTCTAGATGCAGAATTCGGAATATAATCAGTGGATTGTCACAGCTTCTGCAATCTGAAAAAGTTTGTTTCGTAAGGCTTTGGCAGGATTTTCGGGTACTCTATAGAAGACTATGAAGTTAGTTTGAGAGTTCACTTGATGTCCAGAATCTATCGACTGTATCAGAACAGACCTACAGAGTGATGTTTTTCCTCCTCTATAAAACCATTATGGTAAATGTTCAATGATATATTTGGATATCAGACACCGAATATGATACACCAAATACTAGAGGAGTACCATCAGCCTCAACGGGTTGATCTCTGATGAAATCTCAGCACGAATACAGAGGGCTCGTTTCGCATTTGCCAGTTTACGCCGTCTCTGGCGTAGACGTGATATTCGCCTGGTTGTCGACCGAAGGACGAGTGTACTGCTCATCTGTCCGCTCCGTCCTCCTTTATGGCGGGCTGGCTGTGAGACCTGGCCACTGAGAGTGGAAGACATGAAAATACTAGCTGTCTTTGATCATAGGTGTCCGCGTTCTATCTCCCGTGTGAAGTGGTATAAGGAGGTGAGCAATATTGAGGTTAAGCACCGGTCGAGTGCTAGGTAAGGAGGGGAAATCAATAGACGAGGTTGTGAAGTTACATCCACTGAGATGGTCAATACATGTGTTACGTATGCCAAGTCATCGCTTTCCACGACGGGCAATGTAAGCTGACACAGGGTCAGGCTGGAAAAGAGCTAGTGGCGGTCAAACGAAAACATGGCACCAGTCAATGAAATCTACAACAGTTAGTGTAAGCCGCGTATTAAGGTGTAGACTTCCAGGGTGGGGTCCCCGGGACGGTGAAAAAAAACGGTTGAAAACAAATGGTGATATGGCTCAAAATCGTTGTCAGTGGCGCAGATGCATCCACTCCTTGTGACTTAGGATTTCCAATTAAACTATGTTGTTCTTCGTTACTACTATTCCTTTGTCTCACACCTCTGTTTACTGTCTCTGTTATGGATTTCTTCTACTTTCTTCTCTTGCTTTGTGTGCTACATGGAGTGTGGCGACTCGAACTGTCGCACATATATGTGCAAAGTTCTATATCGAAAACAGACAGACAGACAGAGGAGTAGATGAATTGATAGATACACATTGACGCGGCCAGTGGTTGTGGTAGTAGAAGCAGAAACTTGTCTTTCACTTTCATCAATTGATTTCCTCAAAGTTTTAAATAAAAATAGCTGATTAACCCCGATAAGCATTAAACCTAGATGCAGGACCTCTTTACCTCTTGAGTAATTCAAAAATGCCATTTCATTCTACCGCATACTTAACTGTCATAATTAAGATTTACATGAAAATCTAGCGTGTCTGTTTGTCTACGTCTTCATAACATAAATATCGCACTTCTACTTTGGTCATGATAAGAATTTTTGAAAACCAGAGAAGATTGCACAGCTGTTTTCCCTAATTTGAGAATCTTTAAAATGTAAACCTATTACTGCCCGGCCCCCCAACTCACACCATTCAAACAACGAACTGAAGAATTCCTGTTTATTAAACCAGGACCTGACGGAATTTATGCTGAAATCAAAAAAATAACTAGGTGAAATCTGAATCTAAATTATCCCTTCAGCATACTTGTAGCTTCCAGAAACGACTACTACCTTTCAAATTTGAACTCACAACACAATATGACTGGAGAAACAATCTAAAACACAATACATCAAGCATGTGTAAATATAAGTATAAGTTAATCAAACATTATGAGTCAAAGAAGACATTTCTGAATGATTACATTATACCTTCACCTACAAATTCCATAATGTTCCTCTACTTATAATATGAGAAGCTTTGATTAGACACTAGTTAGCAACTAGCATCATGCGTTTAGTCCTTTTTTTTGCTACAAACTGGATTCTATCAGTCAACTTCGCAATAAGTCTACCATACCAGGTGGCTCACCATCACGACACACTCTGAATTGTTGTTGTTGTTGTTGTTGTTGTTGGATGGTTGGAGGCAATCTCCATCAAACAAAGTGGTAGACACATGATATTAGCTACTAACTAGTCTCTAATTAGAGTATCCAATAAAGTCCTACGGTAGGCCAATCGTGAGTTCCATTAGCTCAATGAAAACATCCCTGGCTGCAACAATGGGTGACACAGGTTGCAATCTCAGAAGGGACATGGGTTCCTTCAAGGTTGTAGATACCCCTTACTGACTGTTGAGTGCCAGTAAGCACGAAATGTAGGTCGAAGCCCTCCTACCAGTCGCCTCCAACCTTCTAATAAGGAGCTTTCTACTTTGATAATAGTTATATTATTCTAACTATTTGTATAATAAGGAAATGTTACCCGTTGGAGTACATGTTAACCTGCTTTCTGAAAATATCAAAAGTTATGTCACAATGATTAAACGAATTTCAAGAGATAAAAATAAAATATCCGACAGACTAACCTCTCCTCTTGGACAACGAATGTGTACATCTTTCCTACACTCTAAAATTGATTCCTCTTGGCTAATTTCTTTTAAACAGAGACTGCCCAACCCACGCAGTCGATTTTCCAAGCTTTCCTCACCTCTTAGTGCAATATTAGGTTGTTGATTGACATAAGATTTGTTTAAGTTAGGATGAAGTATACTGAAAAGTAAAATAAATACACAAAAGAATAGCGGAAACATGAACTACTGTGTAAACAATAATAAAATAACAGAAATAACCTACTGAGTTAAACGCTAAGTACTGAGTCAAATCTGTCACGTGGAAACAATGATACTCTCCTTTTGTTTAAAGCCTCTATAGGAATGACAGTCTTTTCATCTATGACATAGTCGTTGTAGGTTCAGCTACCTAAGACAAAGAATAATAATCACATTTTTGTGTGTAAAGTGTAATTGATCACAATTAGTATAACTTGTCAACACCTAAAATAGCATGTAATGAATTATTAACGAATAACTAACCATTTTAGGAAGGGCAAGTGCAACACTTAAGCCTGGAGTGGAATGTACTGACCCAATCACTATGTGAAGAGAGTGAAGCTAAGAAACTACAGACAGATTGGTGTAGAATCCCAAACTGCCAAACTGAGATACAGTGATATTAAATTTGACAAAAAGAGGCCATGAAAGAAGAGTCATTACATTCATTTCTTTTTGATAAGTTCTAAATACATGTATAACAATCTCCGACCTTTGATTTGAAATATTCTGACGTCCTCATCCAAGTGAACCATGTAATGCCTGCGCGAAATCTTAACTTCCGAATGAATTACGTTCAGCTTTTTTTCTCAGACTTAATGACTAGAAATGGAAATTCACCTCACCAAAACATTCACCATACAAAAGATAGACTTAATTCGGCACTTCACTACCTCTCCTGTCCAACTAATAAAGCGTTTATGAAGAATGCATCCCTTAACGCGTTAAAGACTCTTACGAAAGGGAAACCATCACTCGGTCCTCGTAAATAGGAAACATGAGAAACGTGTACATATTGAAACAAAGTTAACTTATACAACTAACTGAGCCATTTGTGATGATTCTGATGCATCGGAATCATTGTCCTCAGATGTCCCTTGTTTTCGCCTTCTCCAAGGTATGTTAGAAATAGTTGTATTTTGACTAGGAAATACATTGGATTGACGGTTACGTCTCGCATTGTCAAAAGCTTCGTCTAGACGTAATCTTACAGAAGGTGGCGGTAGTGTCTGATAAGTATTAATACTGCAGTCTCTTGAATGACGACGAGATGTACTTTTTATTGGTGTTGCTGATTTAACTTGTCGAACAGGTCGTAAATTTCCAATCGATTCAAGAAGTTGCATATTCTACTTTAAAGCAAAACAAACGGAATACACTAATAAGGTCATCCTTAATAAAAACAAGATTTTGAAATAATAAATGCTTTCTTTTGTACACAGATCAAAGATACTGTTTTCTGAAGTATGCAAATTAAAAATATATATTTGATTCTTTTAGAAATTACTAGTCATATTGTAGTAATATTTGTTAACCGCCTCATTTCGTTTTGTCAGTTCCATCGAGATGGTCTGCTGGTGAAAATACCAAAATAACTAGTAACTGCCTATTCACTATTAACTAACTGCTATCACACTGTGCTCCCATAAAATATCCAGCTAACAAAGTCAGAGGGTTTGACACTCATCTGTTGTTTCCTTTACTGAAATACTGTAATCTAGTGACTTCCCTATAGAATGAACAGGCACATCCAAATGACAAGTCCCAGGTAGGAAGATATGAGAATACGGAATTCCACTGTTAGCCGTCATCAGGGAAACTAATTGACAGCCGGTTTGACGTATTTGTAGGGCATCAGCAATATTACTGAGATCATGATAAAGCTAAGAAGCTATCAGTTAGAGACTCTCGATGATACGTTAGAGACTGATTTGTTCAGAGGAAATGTACTCACCTTTTGTTATCTTCCGGATTGTGACCAGATTTACCGATCTTCGCCTAGTTGACATCTATGTCCTCAAGCTTCCATTCTACGAAGACATACACATGTGACATGTAAACGCTTTGTTTTTTTCCAGCTAGCAAGTTGACTTTAGATAATATTCATGCTTCAATCTCTCGGAACCATAAAGTGCTGGTGTATAGGCCCAAACTGTCAAAAGGCACCAATGATTATCATATTCTTTACCTATTCTAATGGATTCATCCAGATGTACAGTGTATAGACAACTTTCCACTGGGATCCAACCAAGCAGTGGGTTTCTCACTACTGGGTCTATTACTATGCCTACACATCTGAGTTCACAAGAAGTGACTAAAGAATACCCTCACACCGAATTGATGAATTTCGTAGATTCACTATCTTGTCCAGGTAGGGTTAAATGATGAGCTACTCTTGTGACATGTATGATTATCTCAGATATACAGCATTGTAGCTGTAAATAATTCCCCAAAATTATTGACCATAGGAATAGATTATGTCTAAGAGAAGAATTACATCGTGACCATAAGAATCATCAGTGAACACTGGATGCTGACCCTTAGAGTGTAAGTTGAGTTGTTTAGCTGAAGGCTTCCCGTTAAGCATCCCCGCCATTTGGTACTCCGTCGTGTCACTTTCGTGCACGATAACTAGCCAGCTTAGCTTCCGCTTCAGTCCGCGATTTCGTTCCGAAATGTATCTCGTAATTTGGACAATCAATTGTGGTGTTCTGCTTTGCCTTTGGTACACGAGAAACGAATACAATAGAAGTTGTACTGTTCGCCAACGTCTAAACCGTCAACTTTAACATAAATCCACAACCCGAGATGCAGGAATTTTAACTGTTGAGACCTGTAATTTAATTTCATGCCGCAAAGTTTAAAGTCATAAGGTGAGGCAGGTAGCGGCGCCTCAATAAACTGGAAACAATGCTTTTTGCTTTGCTCGATAGCAATGGCCTAAAGGCTATGGGAGGGCTGAGCAACTACCCCAGTAGTACTTTTAAGCGGGAAGAGGATGTGCACTGGTGATGAACAAAGAAACCCTGTTTTCAACTTTTCCTTAATAAAATCCTCCAGCCTCAACAGCCGCAGAATTTACCTCAGTTAATTAAACTAGACAAATAATAGATGTTCAGTCATACGAAATAAATATGGCCAAACTAACTTAGAGGTTGGAAATTATCGTACCATGTAAGTTACACTTTACGATTCACTCATTATGCATCACTATAAGTTAGAGAACTGAACCAGTCCGTCAAAAATTAACCGAAGGAATTTTACATATTGAGTTTTTAAGCATTCATATCAAAGGTTTCCACATCTCCTTGCAAAAATGAATCATCTGGTCAACCTAAGAGCTATTTGATAATCTCAATAACAAAGCAAACAGATTTTTGCTTGTCAAATATCAAAACCCTGTCCTACCTAGTTCCATATCCTCTTATATATATATATATTGTTTCCTTCACGTTCGCCAGTGAAACATAGGGCTTCAAGCTAGTGGCTTGAAGTTTCTGTAGCAGTGTTTATTTTACAGGATGGGGTTGCTAGCCCCATGTCCAACCTTTCCTCCTTACCAGCATTATTTCTGGCTCAGCGGGGTAAAGGAGTGCGTTGGTGGCCGGGGATCGAACCCCGGACCATGTGCATGGTCGGCGAGCATCCTAACCGCTGTGCCACCGACGCTGCAAATGTATACTTCTGGTCAAATTCAGCATGTATTCAATTCAACTGGAGCGACAGCACTCAGAGCCTATGCATCCGTCACGTCAAGGTTTTCAGCCAGTAAGTCAAAGTAGTACCAAACAACATGCTGTCATTCATAGCTAAAATTCATCGTAATAAGAAACTGGCCATCAGGTCAGCTACTGACATTTTACCTTGAGATTGTCCAATCCAGATCATAGTAGATGTGGACTCCGAACCCAATACACCTGTTTTTCAGAAGTCAACCAAAACTCCAAAAGTTTCCTTTTAAACTTACGTTTTCTCTCTAAATATCCACTTTTTAGTGTCTACGTCAACCGCCTTCAATTAGGTCAAACATCACAAGAAATATTAAATGCGAGCGTGCGAAAAAAACAAAAGTAAAGGCAGTGACCCTGCTGACTGAGAACTGTATAAAAAGTGCGTTAGAATGTTTGGAATAAGTTGAGGATGTGTTGTTAAGTATGAATTTAGCTCACAATATGCAGTGTGATGTCATTATTCTAGATACTTTCAAAGTGCTGAAGTCATCAGAAAAAATGTCAGAGATAGATCGTAACACCCAAATGACATTGTTTGAAAAGCAACAATCTGACAATAATTACACATTCAGAATGCTGCCGAATATTTAAGCTGTTCCGTAAGTACTGACACTTTACCCAATTGTTCGTAGAACAGCAAATGTTTTTATTGATGGCAACACAGCATGCTGCTCTGATGCTCATTTGCGAATGACAAGCAAGTTTTAAAATCTCATGATAAGTCGTCATTATATTATAACGATCAAATTCGACCAGGAATAAGGAAACATCTCACGTTTTTGACAAATCGCTGTTTTGTTGTGTTATTCACTTCAAGAACATTTAAAAAAAACTTTAACTTGACTTTTGTCTGTTAAGTTTTGATTTTAACCACTTATATAGTCTATATTGGGTAAATTGTCTTGGCTGTTTCCAGTAGTAATTCATTATGTCAAAAGTACCACATAAATGTAATAGGGCGGAGTGTTACTTTTTGGTAGATGATGGAATACAGTGTAATAACTGTGAAAAGTGGTATCATAAGATGTGTACTGGATTACGTCCAGCTGCATACAAACGTTGTACTGCTCCAACATCCCACTGGATGTGCAGAATGTGTTGTTCCCCAAAGATGACCTTAATAAGGGAGGCTCACGAACTGCTGTCTAAAGCCATGGAACTTCCTGATGATAGCGTGGCTAGTAAGAGTGACACGGACTGCCCGTCTGAAGATGAAGCAGTAAGTGCCATCATGAATGTTATCACACCGGCGGTTACTATCCCAGTTACCCCGGAAGTAAAACCTACTAGGCGTTCGAAGCGTCTTAGTAAGCGAAAAGGTAACAAAACGGAAGCTGTAAACAGCATCTCAGAACCAGAGAACACCGTAAGCGAAGTTCACCATGAAGGTGGTGCAGACACTGATCTTGATTGTACCATCAAAAACTGCAGCAGCCCTGAGAAGCAACTGCAGGCAGATGATAAATGGGTAACAAAAATAAGCAGTCGGAAGAAATATAGTAATATTGATGGTAGGCAAACGTCTGTCACCTGTAGCCAGGCTGCATCAATAGTGGTGAGAAAGGACGTAGCCACTGCTAAATACGACAAGCTCTCCTTAGACTCTAACATAATTGTTGGAAATTTGGAAGAGTCCAAAGAATCTGATCCCGTGAAAAGGCACGATCACGACCTTAAATTAGTGAGTAGTATTATAAGGAAGATGCTCCCAGCGAATTTCCCTGGAGTATCGATTAAAAAGCTGATTAGAATAGGCAAAAGAGATGATGAATGTTCTAGTCAGCGTAGGTTGCTTAAAGTAGTCTTAGGTTCTCCTGATGAACGGAATCATCTACTGGCTAATGTACACAACCTTGCCGGGTCAGGAATTTCAGCCAGACCTGATTTATCTCTTGAAGACAGACTTAAACGAAAAGAAGTTTTGTCCCAGCTAGAAACAAGACGTAAAAATGGTGAGACTAACCTTAAACTGGTGGGTTTTCAAATAGTCAGGTCTTGGAAACGTATGCTTCCAAGACCTGTGTGGATAAGCCAGACCGCATAGGAAGCCTGAAGGTAGTGTACACTAATATACGTAGTATCGGGAACAAATTTCACGAGCTAGGTGTATTAGTAGAAGACCTTAGCCCAGGTATTGTGGCCATTACTGAAACATGGCTGGTTTCGGGATTAGATGACACACCTGAGCTATGCGGATTTAGTTGCTTGCGCAGCGACAGAGTTAAGGGTCGTAGAGGTGGCGGGGTTGCTCTGTACATCAACAACTCCCTACATGTTCGTTCCGTGAAATCTGAAGCTCATGACAGTGGGACAGGTGAGGTAATTAGCTGTGAAGTAAGCTTTGCAACCGGCACTCTACTCATTGGAGTTCTGTATAGAAGTCCCTATTGTCAGTGTGATGACTTCATTTTAGATCACCTCAAACAATGGAGTAAACACAGTAGCTGTCTTATTCTAGGTGATTTTAATGCACCTCATATAGACTGGGTAGCTGTCACATCTCCAGGATCCGCTGATAAGTTTGACAGCCGGTTACTCTTGACAACCATGGAAAATGCCCTGACACAACATGTCTTAGGTAGTACAAGATTCGGTTCTACCCAAGGATCTTCCTTGCTGGACTTAGTGCTTACTCATGACAACGACGACGTGGATGGTCTAGTTATTCATCCACCTCTAGCAAACAGTGATCATGGGGTGTTAGATTTTAACTTAAGGGCTGGCAATTTAGTCAGTTTTCAACCCAAATCCCGGCCTAGTGTTTGGCATGCTGACATAGTGGCTATAAAGGAGCGTGCTTCAACTGCCGACTGGTCAGTCAACATTGTCTCATCCATTGAAGATGAATGGGATAGATTTAAGAATACACTTGAGAGGGTTACCACTGATCTCATCCCCTGGAGGGTTCCTAAAAGGCCAACAAATCGGCCACCATGGATAAATAGACAAGCTATAACACTCCTGAGACGGAGAAAAAGGTTCTGGAATCTCTTTGTTTCTACTGGGCTACAGCAGTTCCGGCTGAAATACTGTGAAACCAGAAACCAGTGTAAAACTTTGATCCACCAGTCAAGGATAGCTTACGAAACCCAGTTAGTTAAAAGTTCACCAGGCTGCCCAAAAAGACTCTTCTCATATATCAAGAGAAGAACACGTAAGAGTGATGCTATCCCACCTCTTATGCTTGAAGATGACCAGACAAACATGGCTGAGGATAACTTGACCAAGGCTGAGGCTTTGTCCAAGCACTTTAGTCAAGTATTCTCTGATAATATTGATACCAGCTTTGTAAATTTTCCAGAAGGTAACTTGAAAATGGCACCCTTATACATTGGAAAGGATACTGTCCTAAAGTGGCTTCTAAGGCTCAATCCTGGTAAGTCCAGTGGCCCTGATGAACTCCACCCACGTATATTAACAGCATTGGCTGAAAGCATAGCCGAGCCATTGTCGGTAATCTTCAATATGTCTCTGGACCAGTCTAAATGTCCAAGAGACTGGAAAGATGCCATCATTAGTCCGGTCTTCAAAACCGGATCTAGAAACTTAGTTCAGAACTATCGTCCTGTTAGTTTGACCAGTATTGTTGTTAAACTACTAGAAAGAATAATTCGTGATGCTATCATTCAGTTCATTGAAGGGAACAAACTTTTCGCTGTGGAACAGCACGGTTTTAGAGCAGGTCATTCTTGCTTGACCAACCTTCTTTTGGCCAGAGAAAGT